TTATATATATTACATATTAATGCAAAATTTAACTCTTAATGTTTTAGATATCTTAACTTAAATTCGCATATTAAATTAATTTTACATCTTAACATTAAAAAATATGTTTTATCTTAACTTGTTAAATATACTTTTATTCTTTTCCTAATCTAAAAATATATTTTAATCTTATTTTAATTTAAAAATATATTTTAATCCTATCTTAAAAAAATATATAAATAAAATATATTTTTAATGTTAAGATTTAAAATCAATTTAATATGTGAATTTAAGTTAACATATATAAAATATTAAGAATTTACGTTTACACTAATATACAACATAAATAACATGTGTCACCAATTAACTACTTGGCACCATTTGATTTGAGGGTTAAGTTTATTTTAATTTATTAAAATTAGGACCAAATTGATAGAATGTATAAGTAATAGTACCAAATGTGTTATTATACCAAATATTTTAACTGTCGCATCAATTTATCCGTTAAATATTAACTGCAAGTGGCTTAATTCAATGCATTTAAATAGTTGGATGACCTGATTGACAAAATTTAAAAAATAGTGGTCAAAATGAAAAGAGACAATAGTTAGGGGTCACTGATAAAGTTTACCCTTTATTTTAAGTAATTTATTTTTAAATAGATGGTTGAATATATATATATATATTAAAGGGATGGACAAGGTGTGTTTGGACAACAATTGTAACAAAGCTTTCTCGAATTATCAAACAAATAAAATTCTTACGAATATTTGATGCAATTGCACACAATTCAATCAGATTCATTAATTAAAAATAGATAAAAAAATGTATGGAACTCATTATAATTAGTTATTCGCCTAACTCGATGGATTTTCACTAAAATATATCTATTTATTTTCTTAAGAATTGATGGAACTTATTTAAAATTATGCTTGACTAAAGGGGTCTATCGGACAAAAAATGATAAGTCCATGGCCATTTTGTTAATTTATAAAAAACAAGCCTTTCATGTATATGCAATAAACAAGTGTCCCCATTTGTGAGAAAAATAATAATGAAGATAGCATGGTTTCACATTGATTTCTTGTTGAGACATGAAATCACAAGTAATTGTGGGGGGGGGGGCGATAAAAATATAATAATTTTGATTTGGAAACTTTCTTAAAAAGGAAATTCGTGATTGGCATGTATGATAAAAAGAAAGAGAAATTAGCGTAGACAAAAATAATGAATACCTGGACCACCAACCCACTCAGCCCTTCTATCACATAAAGGAAACGAGACTATAAATTAACCATTCAATGCAACCTTTGTCAGGGACGGAGCTCCTTTAGTCTCTTGTTAAATTTATATATTTAATATAGTTTTGATTTAATAATATTTTAGTTTATATAAAAATAAATATTTAAATTTAAAAAATATAAAAATTTACTAAATATTTAATTAATTAGGGGTCGAACTAAATAATGACAAGTCTACATTCTCAAATTTTTGGTCTAATTACAATTTAAGTCATTGTAAGTTTAAATATTATACAAATTAGAAGTTGTCTTTTGAGTTTTTTTTTTAAATTTTAGGCTGAATACAAGATAATATATGTACAAAGACTTTCAATTATTTGACAATGAATGCTCATATCCCTACATACGTGCTTGAACTTGGGACCTCAGAGGTAACAACAATCCTTTAATCATTAAGGTCGTTTGTTTAATGCTGAATTTCGAGTTTAAATATCTAACAAGTCTTTATATTTTTCTTAAATAATCTAATATTTCGGCCTCTGTCAATATTTAATTCTGGCTCCATCCCTGACCATTATGGTCATGTGGACCTACTTTTATGAAAAAAATATGTTATCATTTATTAACTTTTTCATAAAAATTATATAACCTCTATAAGATATTGATGTATTTATTTGTAGGTAAAGTATAACGAGATGTAATATGAAACCATAAAAACACCTTTTTTTTCCATAGAATCCACTAGTTTTATAAAAATATAAATTATTTAAATTAGAAAAAAAATTATAATTATGATATTAAACTAATACATTGTAGGGATATTCTCATTTAATTATTAACACAAAAAACTTATTTATTAAGATCATCTAAAAACCATACAAGGAAAATAATTTTTAACCAAATAAACTCGACCAAAAGATAGATACACATATATGACCATCGACAAACAAATGGAAAAAGATGATCAAACTGTTGAAAGAACATTAACAGATTATAAATTAGAGTCGAGTGACGTGAGAAAACTATCCATGAACGCAAATCACGTACCCAAAGTCAATCTGAGGGTCTAAAGTATGTAATATCAACATGATAATAAATAAATAATATTTTGATCAGTCGTTACGATTTAAAACTCAAACATGAGAAAAAAATTAAATGAAAACATATTGAAAGATATAGAAAAAATGCGTAAAAAATGAAAGAAAAAGTGCTCAAAAACAAGTTTATTAAAAAATAAAACTAATAAAAATAAAATATATTAAATAAATAATAATAATAAATATCAACAAAATTAACACCATCATCGATCAAATAGATGAAGAAAAAACTAACGGTGACAAGAAAAATAGATACAACAAAAATAATTAAATGTGGTAATAAATATAATATAAATATAGGTATGATTATATTTATTTAATAATGTAAAAGAACAATTTTATCAAACTACAATTCTATTCGTCATTGGAATAAATTTGGTTTCACTAATTCCAATGAGATTGAACACAAGAATCGAGAAATTCTTTCATTTTTTATTTAAAAAAGTCTAAGGTCATTATTTGTTTTTATTTAAAAAAGGAGAAAAATATATATCTATCAAAGTCTTCAATAACGAAATCAGTACAAACAATAGTTTATGAGTTGTGAGAAATTAGAAGATGACAAAATTAAAATTCATTCATTGACAAAAACAGAAAGAAAATAACAAAAATAACGTTGTCGGTAGCATGCTATTATTCAAGGTTACAATTTTAGGAGATGCAAATATTGAAGCCCGTTTACCATAAGTTACAAGTCAAAACCCTAAACCTTCAAACTTCTATTTTGCTTCTTTTAGATCTTCAAACTTTTAATCTTTTGTTCAGTTTAAATGAATAAAAAGTTATTAATTTATTATATTAATATTATTTATTTATTATTTTAATTTTTATTATTTTTTCATGACACCAAATATGAAAAAAAACACCCAAAAAAAACACAACTTTTTTTTTTACGAAACCAAAAATGTCACATAATTTTTTAATAAAAAACAAGTGATGTTGTAGTGAAAAGTTTAGGGTAACACTAACTATAAGTTCTCCAAGTACTAAAATAACAACGTGGCACCATTTCAAGGGCTAGAAAGGGGTAAAATAATAATTTTAAAAATTATATCAAAACAGCCGTAAACAAGCATTTACCATAATTATCTCTATTCAAATGAACATCCGTATTTACCTTAAAAAACCCCATCCCATTCAAAGTAAATTAATATGAAATTCATCATATTTAATTCATTTTCATTTTAATTAAGATTAACTCTAAAATTCAAGCTTATAGAACTTATCAAGATAAATTCAAGCTTATAGAACTTATCAAGACATTAGTGATTAAAGGGAATGCTATTTTTTTTTAAGATCTTATATTCAAACAACTACGTTTACAGAGTATATCTTCGATATCAATAATTTAAAAAAAATCTAAATAGATACTAACGACGAGCACTGCTGAGCGCCATTAATTTATTTTATAAAAAAATAAAATTCTAAAAGACTCAAAGTATAATTATGAATTAATTAAAAATTTAAAAGTAAATTATTTAAAATAAAATATTAATTACATTGTTTTTATAATATTTTTAACAATAAAAAATTAATGGTGCTCAACGATGCTCATCGAACGTGGTAGACTCTCTCTCTCTATATATATATATATATATATAATTATTTAGAAAATTGTTAAAAAGATTATGAAAAATAATATGATTAATATTTTATTTGAAATAATTTACCTTTAAAATTTTAATTAATTCATAATTAATAATTAATTTTTTTATAATTTTAAATTTTTATAAATTAAATTAATAATGTTCAACAATACTCTTCATTAATGGTGTTCGTCGAACTTCATAATATATATATATATATATATATATATATATATATAACTGTAGGTAGATTCTAATCGAAGTTCGGTAGCCATTTAAACTTTAGGCTAATTTTGTCCGTAGGCTTAAGTTAGACGCATCCCTAGCCTAGCCACACACAATTTGACATCCAGTCCAAATGTCTGATTGATCTCAATTAAGAATTATTATCCCCGCAACTGCCTACAAATTGATATAATAAAAAATAAATAAAATAAAAGCAATATGAATATTTTCAAAAAAAAGTATTAAAATTCACACAAGACAAATAATTGACATGATACCTTAAATGCAATCGTGAGAAAATAATATATAAATAATATGATAATGGCACCATTGTTATACTACGTGTTTCCACTTCCACAAATGGAATCAGACAACATGGTCTTAGACGATATAATGAATTATTGACAGCAAAACCATCAAAGTATATCTAAGAGCTCATTAGTTGGGGGAGATTCTTTGCTTTATTTTATGCATTATAAAAGGTTTTCTGATTTAGCTGGAAAAGAAAACTAATAATTTAATGAAACGATTATAAGATATTCTGAATGTATGACAACTCATCCTAGTGCTGATGCAATAGGACAAGTATAAAATACAAATCGTTGGAAATTGGCAAGGCCAATGGGTTTTAAGGATCGACATCCGTGAGTTTTAGTTCATTTTACCCCAATTTAAGACCTCTTCATCTAATTTAAAATTTAATTTATTTTTAGATAAAACTCGTATACGATATGATCTATAACAAATGCACTAAAAATTTAATTTTTTTTATAAAATAAAAATCTAACTGAAGAATAATATAACGAAAGTATTATGGTAATTATTTCTAAATATATAAGGTATAATTATATTGTTTTTCTTTGCGTTGAATCATGTTAGGTATTTTTCACTTTAAGTCTGAATCTGACCTAAGCTACTTTAGGGTACGTTTGGTAAAACTTTCTAAAGGGTGTGTTTGGAACTACGAAAATATTTTTCCCGTTTTCTTGTGTTTGGTTCCCGTAAAACACTCTGGTCAACGTAAAATGTTTTACAGTCAATGATAAAGGAGAGGAAAACACGGTATTTCAACTTACCGTTTGGAAAAGGGTAAGTTGTTTTCCAGCTTTGTCTTGTCCCTTGCTCCACACAGAAAACACAGTCTTTGGTTCTCTCCTCCCTTGCTCCACACCAGAAAATCGATCGACTGTTTGGAATCCTTCTCATCGGCGAGGCAGGCGGTCGTCTTCTCAGGTATCTCTCGTTTCATCTTCTCCCTTTTCATCTTCCTTTATCTCTTTTTCTTGTTTCATTTTCCCTCATTTTCCATTTTCAATTTCACCGATGAGGCATAAAATAAAGTTCTGAAAGCTCCATTTTCATTTTCCATAGTTGTGGTGTTTTCTTGGATGTCCAGTCAAGAGAAGCACTTGAAGAACTATGTTCAGCTCTATGTTTTTTTGGGTTTAATTTGCTTTTTATTTAATCGATTTTTTGTTGGTTGGTGGATTCTTTTGAGTTACTGTAGCACCTGATTTCTGTTATGTGAATTGGGTTCTTTTTTTATTGTTGAAATTTTATTTATTGACCTTTTTTTAAATGCTTTGATCTTGAATTATATGACGATTTTGCATTTCTGATTAAAAACGTATGGTTCTGCACTTACGATATTCGTATGGATTATGAAATTGAGGGATATTTGGTTTGAATTGTTGTATATGGTCACGTGGCTTTGATTGTTGCTTTTGAACTGAAATTTGATGTTCATCTGCTTAACGTTGACTGACGTTGGAGGGGGTTTTGATGATTTTGGTAATCTGTACAGGTTCTTCCTAGAGAAGGCTGCTGCTCTAGCACTTTATCTTCTTATGAAGAAGAAGATGTTGGTTCCAGTATGGAGGGAAGAAAGCACGAGGAAAATGGATCAAGCATGGAGGGTATAATAGAGGAGACACTGGCACCGGGTGAAAACACAGTTAAGCCAGTTAATGAGGCTTCTGCTTGGTCCATGAGATTGATTGCACTGCAGTTGTCAACTGGTCATAGCACCAGCATTGAAGAAGTATGTTCTGAATATTGAAAAATTGAGTGCAGTTTTTGTTGTCTGCCATCATCTTTGAGTGCTTAAAATCTTCATTTTTCATTAAAACGACTATGTTGCTTGACAATTTTCTTTGCTTAAGCTGGCATCAATCTCCTGAGTTGTATAGGCTTGGATTTTATGCGACCCAAGTTTCGCTTCATAGTTGATTCCTATATCATTAGGAAAAACACAGTTGCAACTCATAGGCTGTTTACTTTTATTTTTACTTGAGTTTCTTTGAAAGGTGTAATGATTTACTGGAATGTTCTGTGTAGATTGTTGTTCCTTTAGTAATGTTATAGTCTTCCTCTGAACACCTTAGACATGTAGTTTCATTTACCTCAGTTATGCCTTTAGCCATTGTATGTGTCATTACCGACATATTTGAAGTATTACCGAAATACCTTCCCTTCTTTTTCCTTTCGAAATACCTTCCCTTCTTAATATATTTTTAATATTATATCAAATAAACCTACATAATATTAATTTTACGTTGAAATTCTTTTCTAAAAAAATGAATGAATAAGCATCATGAAGATTTTAAACCTAAAATAGTGTATTTATAACACAATTAACATAAATTATTAATATTATCTAAAAATATAATTTGATGTATTTATAAAAATATAATTTTTTATAAAATATAATTATATAAAAAAATAAAATGAACTTTTAAAACTAAGGTAAAGAATAAAAACATATTGAATATGTATGTTTCTTTATTAAAAAGAGATTCTGAAATCTTTATTAAAAAGAGATTCTGAAAACTGTTTTCTGAAAAATTAACCAAACACTGTAAAACATTTTACAATGCACCATCCAAACACTGAAAAATATTTTCTGGAAAATATTTTCCAAAAATGTAATTAATTTTACATATTTCATTTTCTGGAAAATATTTTCAGTGAAACAAACAGACCCTAAAATCACTTTTAGCTAAAAAAACTCGTTTTGGCCACAAAGTCATTATCAAATGAGTAAAGAATAAAAAAATTACGGTGAAAACTGTAGTTTCAAACCAACCGCAAAAGCTAGACAAAAACTCCTAGCTTTTTCATTTTCAACTTTGCGTTTGGATTAAATTATAATTTTAGCTTTACTAATGCATGAACTCTACTCAATTATGTATAACATTTTATTTTAACAATTTAATACAAACATCCTTAAAAAATAATTTATTATTTTTAATAATTTATTTTAGTTGTTTAAAAATAAATAAAATTTATGATTTATATATTAAACTATTAATTGTGAGTTATATAAAATATATTTTTGTTATAGTTTAAATTGATATAATTTGTATATAATAATAATTATTTTGAACTTATTTTATTTTAAATTGATATAATTTTTATATAAGTGGAAATATAATTTAAATATTATATTTTCAATTTATAACATAACTTCTATAATTAACATCTTATCTTTTTAAATTCACTTTTTAACAACAATTTCAGATAATTAAATTTTAAACTATACTTTTATATAATATTTTTAAAAGTTCGTTTCTAATTCAATTTTCAAAATCTATAGTAGCCTGACCCTTAACCTCAGCTTTTTTAGAATAATATATTTAATAAAATAATGTCAGAATTCATCGGATTTAGAACCTTTCCCATCCCTATATTTAAGGATTTACGGCATAGTTTTTAAAAATGACTTTTGATGGAGGACTACTCTTTCTTCACCCATTTTCAAGCAATGAAAGCCCAAGTCCAATGTGAGTTTCAAGCTCCATGCATAATACACCCAAGAACAAATTAAAACAGGTTTAAATTTTATTATTATGAGAAAATAAAATCAAACATTTTTGTTTCTTACATGTAACTTGTCCAAAATTGTCAATTTTTTTAATTTTTTCAAAAATTTTCTTTCATATATCCCTCAGCTTACGTCACTCTTTTATTAAGCAACATTCACCCTGCTTAGTCAACACTCGAGAGCTAGACCAGCTTACAACTTTCAGTTTTTGTCGAAAAACAGAGAAGTGAGCTTTGGAAGCGGTTTGGTAAAGCCATCCGCAAGTTGAAACCTCCCAGGAACAAAATTCACACGAATAGAATCGTTTGCAATCTTCTCCCTAACAAAGTTAACATCGAGTTGAATATACTTAGATTTAGCATGAAAAACTGAATTTACACTCATAGCAACGGCACTTGTGCTATCACTCTAAACAGTTGACACATCACCACAAACAATTCTCATATCACTAAGAAACGCTTATAATCAAACAAGTTCAGACACCACATTGGCAACTCCACGATATTCAGCTTCTGTTGTGGATTGAGAGACATACTTTTGTTTCTTCAAGCACCAAGAATCAAACTAACACCAATATATATATATATACAAAACCCATATATCTACCTCTTATCATTCGAATTACTGGTCCAATTAGCATCCGAAAAAGCACATAGCACCAAATTATCTCCAGAAGCACGAAACAACAGTCCATAATCTATTGTACTACTTAAGTAACGTTAATACGTTTTACTGCTAACCAATGCAACTCACACGGTTGATACATATATTGAACAACACATCTAACACTGAACGAGATATCAGATCTAGTGTAACTCAAATACAACAGTTCTCCTACCACGCTCCTATATTGCTGAGGATCATCAAGAGGACGACCATCATCCCAAGATAATTTAGGTGTGGAAAGCTTTAGTGTCGGAACTGCTCGATCTTCACCCATATCTACACGTTCCAATAGCTCACGAACAGACCCGTTTCTGAAATTTTAGTGGCCCGGGGCCAATATAAAAATTAAGCCTCCAATAATAAGTATCGAAAAAATAAATAAATTCTAAGAGCAAGAAAATAAAATAAATTTGTTTGCAAATTATTTTTTTAGTACGTTTAATAAACTATCTAATAAATATAGAGCTATCTCAGATATTTTTCAGAACATTAAACGAAACTAAAATATAGACCTTTATAAAAACAAATATTTTAATACTTTGAATAATTAATTTAATATTACTTTAATAAATCATATAAAAATGATTAAATTAGGGCCTTAAACTATAAAAGTAAAAAAAGTATGATTGAAAAAATTAGGGTCATCAATTGTAAAAGTAAAATGTGAGATTAAAAAAATTAGGGGCCTCAATTTTAAAGGTAAAAGGTAGGGTTGAAAAGATTTAGGAGCCTAAATTATATGAGTAAAAAAACGGTATTGAAAAAAATTAGGGGCTTCAATTATAAAGATTAAAAGTGATACTGAAAAAATCACGAGCATAATTATAAAGGTACAAAGTGAGATTGAAAAATATAGTATCATCAATTATAAATGTAAAAAATTGGATTGAAAAAAAATTAAGAGTCTCAATTATAAAAATAAAAAGTATGATTACAAAAATTAGAAACCTCAATCATAAAGATAAAAAAATTAAAATTTAAAAAAAATTAAAGGGTTAAATTATAAATATAAATAATATAATAGAAAAAATAGAGGTCATATAAAAATAAGGGGCATGAACAATTGATCTGCACCCCTAATAGCAAAAAAAAGAAAGTAAAATTTGATATCAGTATCGTTGATTTTTTTAATGATGAACAATTAACAAAATTAAAATGTAATATTAAGTGAAATTTTGCAAAAAATAATAATTGAATAACAAAAAATAGATATATGACTAAATAAATAGTTTATTATTTTTTAATTTTATATGAATTCTATAATTTTGAGTCCAGGCAAGCGGAGGCCCTGCAAGTTCCCCTCTTGCCCATGCTAAAATACGGGCATGTGTACAGTATAAACCTTTCATTTAAAAATCATTTCAGTTAAAACTAATTCTAAGCTCTCAGGGTGCGTTTAGTTCACGGAATATAATATTATCAGTGAGAATGTAAGATTACCAGGTAATAAGATTGCTGGGAATGTTGTATTTTGTTTTTGGTTGGTTTAGCAGGAATATAAGATTACCGTGTTTGGTTAAAGGAATAAATGATTATTAGAATGTATATTTGACCAAATTGTACTTATTATATATTTGTTTTTTAACAAGTTAGAAAATATATATATATATTTTTTAAAAAATTTAAATTCATAAATTTTATATAATTTTTTTACAAAATTAAAAATATAAAAAGGTTTAATGAAAGGGTAAAATTTTATTTTAACCCCTGAACTTCATATAAAATTTTAATTACAAACTGTTTTTTTTAAATCTAAAATAGTTTAAGGATAAATTTGTAATTTAACATTCGTAGAATTTTTATTATTCAATGAAAGAAGAATGATATTTTTGAATAAAAAAAATTTAAGAGCATTTTAGTCCAAAACGCCGGTAATCTAACAATACATAAGGAAAGGGAGGTAATGACATTCCCGGTAATATACCCTAAAAAATCCACTATTAGTAATCTTACATTACCAGAAATGAGATTCCCGACTAACCAAACGGGAGAATGTGAATTTCATTCCCGTGAAAATCCCACATTCCCTATCCAAACGCCTGCTTTGTGTTGTGTGATTCATGATTGGGTATAGGTTTTAATGGGTTCGTGTTTGTGTTGATGGGGTGGACGACAATAAAAGCAAAGTCAATTTAAAGTAATTTGGGTTATTTGTTCAATTTAAAGTAATTTGGGTTATTTGAACATATAAATATAATATAATTAATTATATAAGATATTTTAAAAATATAACTCTTATTTAACTTAATCTTTAAATTTAAAATATATTATATCAATCCTTCTGACTATCAATTTCATTATATTTTGATCATTCCATTAATGTGTTGTTAATTGTATTAATTAAAAAATTTATTCATTTTTGAAGGTCTTGATAATTAAATATCTGACCTTAAAAAATAATTATTTTCTAAAGAACATCATAAATGTTACATTTTAATTTTATTTTGGTCTCCCGTCGTTAAAAAATTAACATAATCATTGATGTGATATATTTTTAGTTTTTTAAATGATGACGTGATATTACCTAACGTTGACATCGTTAATTTTTAACAACAAATACAAAATGAAACTAAAACATCACATTAGTGATTATTTCAAAAATAATAATTGGGTGGTCAAAATAAAACAAAAATGATAGTTAGATGACTAAATTCGTACTTTACCCTTTTTTAATATACAGTTCAAATAAAATTTAAATATCAATTATCGTGTATATATTGACCAAAAGTAATCTCTTTAAACTGAAAAGGATGTGATTATTATATAGTAACCACAAGGAAAAAAAGAAGGTATGTTTTGTTGATATTTATGCTCTGTACAGCTTCTGCTTTTCGTATCTTGAGACTGCCAAAGGGAGCAGGAAGATTTAAAGACAATCTCAGAACATTTTGCCTTTTTTTTTCAAAGTGCAGAGCTTTTATTAAGATCATGGCGACTTCGCATGCTTCTTAATGGCTAGAGATTTAATTTTGTTTCATTTGAATACACTAATCTATACTTTTTGTGTAGGCCGTTGGGAGCATTTGTAGGCTTAGATTGAAGCTTTAAGGATGCCTTGAAGGCATTTTCGAACATCAGCTAAAAAAATAACCAATAATATAGTTTATTTAATGTAAGGATATGCAAAATGTTACTTTTTTTGTAGGCCGTTGGGAGCAGGAAAAATGTTTTTCTTTTTACGTAAAATTGAAGTTATTGTTACTTTTCAATGTAAGGATATGCAAATTTGATTTTCTTTTGTTGGTTTCTTTGCTTCTTCGTGCTTGAAAATGGCCCTGCTTCAATGAAATTGTTCAGCTGTGGAAGAGGATTGACTGTGACCACTTACTGATAAAGTTGACAAGTAATGACAGAACCAAATAACAGTGCCACTTCTTCTAGACCTCCAAGTATGCCTCAAATGCCATCAGAATTATAGTCCCAATTTGTGTTTCTAAACTTGTTATTGAGTAAATAAAGTTTTTTTTTTCTTTAGATGGAGGAAGCAGAGTATGTGTTTGATTCAAAGACCATACAAAGAATGGAGCTTTTGGTGTTATCGACACTGCAATGGAGAATGAAACAGGTAACACCAATTTCTTTCTTCGATCATATCACAAGGAGACTTGGATTAAAGACCCATTTGCATTGGGAGTTCCTTTGTAGGTGTGAGCGTTTGCTTCTCTTCCTCATAACTGGTGAGCTTTTGTTTTTTCATGAGTTCTAACGTAGGTTTTCCAATTCAATTTTAATACAGATTCAAGATTCATGCTTTATGTTCCTTCTATCTTAGCTGCTGCAACAATGTTGCATGTTGTTAAAGAGGTTGAACCATGCCATTATCTTGAATATCAGAAACAGCTCGTTGGAGTGCTCAAGATATGCGAGGTTTGTGCACAATTTCTTGCAGTGTCCTCTATTCTATCTATGTTGGAACTAGATTCTCCATTATTTAATTGTGGTTTTGTTTCGAACAGGATAAAGTAAATGCCTGCTATGAGCTCATCTCAGAGTTACTGGAAAGGCAGTACAAAGGAAACCTAGGCAACAAAAGGAAGCATAGATCAATACCGAGCAGCCCTAGTGGTGTCATCGACGTGTCTTTCAGCTGTGATAGCTCGGATGGTTTGTGGGTTGTGAGTTGTGACATCTTCAGTCTCTTCATCACCACAGCCACTGTTTCACAAAATCGTCTGTTTGTGGATGTGCTTAGTAGCCATCGATAAATCATTCCTTTGATCATTATAACTAGTACTGTCAAACATGTTATTGAAAGTTCCTCTTTTGCAAAGTCAGTAGTAATCGATCTTTAATGTGCAATTGATATGTATTTCGTAACTAATTCGTTGCCTTCTATTATCATATTTTCTGACATGGATCAGAGATGTATCAGTATCTGCTAAATTCCACTTTGATTCGTTAAGCTATGGATTTTGATTCTTCTAATGTATTGCTCCGGAAGAAAATGTTCCCAGGGCAGCCTTCTTTATCTGTATATATCTATATTATATTTTTAGCCATTTATCTTGGAATCGGTGTGAAAATAGAACTAAGGTCAAGGTAGGCAACCAAAATCATAACTGTCCTGTAACTTCTGTTCGTTGGGGGGGGGGGATAGACAGATGAATGCTTGTGTTTGGAAACTTGGGATTTGGGGTCTGGGATTAAAATAAATTCAGGGTCAAACATAGAAGCAAAAGCCTCTAGAGAACAACAATCATATCCCCACTAACAGGCAGGGTTTCCCACCATCAACCTTAATGATCTGCCAATCTTTTTAACCTTTCAAGTCCATAACCCTCTTTGCTCTTAATGGTCTTTGGTATCCTTCTTACAGGCTAAAACAATAGCTGTCATCTGGCCTTATTACCTATCACGACTGCTTTTTTCCTTGTTTGCATGTCTTTGGACCTTTTCATTTGAGTTACTTTCTTGTTTTGTCATTTTGAAGCTTCTGGTCGTATATACTTGGATTTGCCAATATATAATTGCAGAAGAAACAACTAGTCTGCAATTATATGTAAAATCCCAAGGCTTAGACATTACATTGGTAATGAACTTTGAATGCACAGATGATTGTGATAAGCAAATTGGCTTTGCATAGAGCATAGTGTTTAAGAGTGAAATGTTTTCTGGTTTATCATCAGTCATCAGAAAGTGAACATTTGGAGAAAATGGGCGGGCAAAATCAATAGACGTGCAGGGAAGGCTTTTTCGTTTTTGGGGATGTCTTTTGTGCCTTGTGGTCCTTTGTTTGCTTTTCATTTCCCTTTGCTTTCAGGTAATTGTTTTTGACAGTCTTCCCATTTATCACCATCCTCAAGTTCTCTGCTCTTATTTTGGCGTGAGAGGATTTTCGCTTTCATTTTCGTTTAACTGATAAAATCATGCAGCGATTGTAATGGGAAGTTCGTTTAGATGCCATATTCTTAAGTAAAGAACATCTTCAAGAGTTGACATTATGTAAGAATTCAACTATTTGCAACTCCATGTTTATACGATTGACACGAAAAAAATAATTTATTATAAACGACACGTAGACACAAAATTTAGGAGCCCATGTTTTTAGGGTACAAACTGCAGGAAAGTTCTCATCAATCAAGTACAAGGAAGCCTCCTCTATGCTTCCTTTGTCCACAAAAATAATTGAGATTTCAGTTTCACAAGCTCCAATAGACTGACCCTTCAAGGTTCAAACTTGCAGAAAAAAACAGTATCTTAATGGTGTTTTATTTTATGATATTGGTGTAAACAAGTAGAGCTTATTATTACTGCTTTTTATAAATGTAGCAGCTCAACACACTGGATTCTCTTAAAGCAAAACAGACAAAATGTACAACCGTTGGCATAATTTCAAACGCAACAAACATGTCTTGTTTGGTTTGGTAGGAATTTATGAGTTATTTGTAGTAGCTTCAATGATTTGGTCTTTTAGGTCTGATCAATCTTGTTCGATCACCAACTGTTTTTAACTAAGAGATCTACATAATCATCTATTAACTGTCATTTGATCTCGTGTATGCATATTAAATATAGAATTGTTATACCTCTAGAGAAAGTCCTTCAAAAATATATTAAATCTTCATTAATCAAAATCCCTAAAACCTTTACAAGTTCTCTTAAGAAATTATATTATCCCGCAACCACTCTTCATCGGATTGTTATTCTTTCATCCACTCCTAAGTCATTGACATGACTTTTAACTACAAGATGGTCGTATCTGTATATCCTAACAAATTATTTACATACATGATGATCCAAATATAGCACAAGTCACCTTTTATAGTCGGGATATTTATACTTCGAGACAAAACTGAAATTGATCTCTCTAGTTTTCATCTACATCATTCATTTTCTCTCTCATACTACTTTTCCTTTTTTTTTGTTTTCACAAAAAAATATCGATCAACGGTTTTTTTATAAACTGCGACTCTCCGTTCAAATTAAAAAAGGGGTAACTAGTAACGACTGATGAGATTACTATTTGAGATTGAAACGACAGCTCATCCTTAAATCATTATGAAAAAGATGAAGAGAAAATTTCACCATAAAAGTACTTCCTATCAGCAATGGTTTTAGTGTAGATATATAGTAATTAATATTGTATGGATCGAATTAATGGTCAAATTAAATTTAGTCATTAATTTTCACCGAACAGGCAATTTATAAAACATTTTTTAATCGATTCAACTAATAATTGTTTTTTTATTTTAATATTCTATAATATTCAACTAATAACAATACTTGATGATGTCTTGAACATGAGAATAATATTTTATAATTTTTTCTTTTACAATTCTTGATAGAACGTTTTTAAGGTGTAAATTTAAAGTCTAAAACCCTGATTCATAAAATCTAAATAAGATGCATGATATATCGATTTTAGAATCTCATTTATGGAACATTTTTTCCACCGCTAATATATAGGATGATAACCCATTATGGTTTATATGATTTATCATAAACTTATACTATACTATACAGTGAAGGACAATATGTGTCATATATTTGAAAGACTTCGTAAAAAAAAAGTCTCATTTCCGACGCAAACCTATCTGTCTACATATATTTCATTGCTAGAAAGAATGGCGTTGATTGTTCGTTTGACCACAATTAAGGTCACAGTGTACTTTACCTATACAAACCATATAGTCTCCAAAAAGGAAAAAGGAAAATTGTTAAGAGATTCTGAAGCGAGGACACTGTCACTGGTCTTTGGGCTGCTTGGTGAATGTGGTTGAATTAACTGAAAAACGTAAAATCCATTTAGTCAATAATATTTGACTCGCAGGCATCTGAACACACATTTCTAAGAATTCCAGCTGATGACTACAATATGTCCTGTCCTAAAACACTACTGGTTGGACTCAAACAGATCTTAGAAAAGGCTTATAGTTTGATTGTTGATCAGTAACTTATAAGTGGCGACGTGCTGCAGTGGACATCAGAAGCATCAGAAAGCCTTTGCCTTTGAGACGATGTTCCAATTCCAGCAGCATCAACATCAATGTTCAAACTGTTTTTCCTCTTATGGCTTTCAAAACTGCCTTTTTCTTCTGATATCTCACCAATTGGCTCCGCCACTGATGCGTCATCATCATCATCTATAGCATATAAGATCCTTTGTATAGCCGCAACAATCTGCAATCATGTGTAATTAAAGCATTAAAATTGTAAACACTGTATTCTACTACTAACCCATTTTTTTTCCTTTTCCAAAATCTGAATGTCAAAAGAGAAAAATACCGGCGAGTGTTCAATTTTAGGATTCTGGCAGAGAATCTCAATGTCTCTCAACTTTCCAAAGTAGAAATCCCTCTCTTTCTCAAGACTATCCACAGACAGCTTCAATTCCGTGATCTACGTTGTGCAGGATAACATAATACATTAGATTCTTTTTTATATTCTTAAACCAATAATACTATCATTTCATCTGCAGAATACCCAAGTTACCTGTTCTTCGTAGGCAGCCAATGCCATGGATTGTTTGGATTGAGTTTTTGCTGATACAATGGAAGGGTTCATGGATAATGAAACATCATTGCTGCTCCTTCGAGCATAAGAAGATGGTGGTCTAGGAGCAGCGGTGGAACCCTTGGTTGTGCATTGCTGTGCTGCTGATTTCTTGCTTGCTTCCTTTCCTCCTTTAGCTGCCTCCCTCCTTTCTACCGGATTGTAACTAAATGAAATAGCAAAGGCTCATTCATAGATCTTTTCACTTCTTATTCACGATATACAGAGCTACTAGGAAAATATAAGCTTCAATGAAGCACTAAAACACTAAATAGGGAAATCATTTACTGTTAGTGTGTATAAAACCATGAAATTAGTAATGGCTGAAAGGTTGTATGGAGAAAATTAACACACGACATACAGAACACGTTAGCCAAACAAACAGAAACAGTAAAGTAGTAAACAGATTTGAGACGGCTAATTATTCTGAAAATTTAAAACTATATTAAGTAACTTGAAATTAAACGGGGGTAAAGAGAAACAATTCACAATGAGAACAGAAAACCCCACAAAAGAAAGTCAAACAACTAAAATCATTTGCGGACTGAATAAAATTTTGGGATTAAAAGAGATTTACTTATAAAGACCGCCTCCATTGACAGAATCACAATATCTTTTCATCCACTTCATGAACTCCAGATTATCAAGCGGCCAGCCTTTCACCAGCTTGCTCACTTCGATATGCTAAAACCGCCAGAAAGTTAAATCAATATTCAAAACAACGAATAGATTAAAAAACAAATTCCAACAAAATGAAAAAAAAACCTTAGTGATCTTGAGTTTGTTAAAGACATCTTGAAGCACTTTGTAATTTTGAATCATCTCGTATTCATTTTTGGCTTCGAAGTTGACTTTGTGCATGGACACCATTCCCGGGTGAACTGAATCAATCAGCAGGCAGTGAACTGCACCGGAACATGCCTGGGAAACGCACGGGATCGGAAAACATGAACAAAATTCTTATTTATGTATTTTATAATCAAAATTTGGAGAGAGAGAGAGAGAGAGAAAACAGAAGAATGAAACCTCTTCGACTTTGGAGAGATTGAGATGGAGAGTGGAGTTGATCCAAGAAAGAATCTCAGATCGGCCGACGAAGTAAGCCCCATCCATCATTCCAATATTCGTCGCCATTGCTCTCAATTTCTTCTCTTCTTCTCCCGGAAAACAAAGCCTTTTGCCTTTCCTTTCAACGGCTATGTGAGTTTGAAAGGGTTCTTTTTTAAATGAGAGGAGCGGGATCCTTTTTGCAATTCAAAAACCGAGGGTAGCTTAGCCGCCCTAGAAAAAGACTGGAAGTGTCGGTCCATTAAAAATGTACCCATATCAAGACCAAATGTATTCGGTCTTTGTATTAGGTATTCGTTTGAATAATATAATTTAGGGAAAACTACCTATTTGGTTACCAATCTATTAGTTAGTTTCTGTTTTGGTTGTCAAATTATTATTTTTTCATAGGAATACCTAACATTATATTTTGGTCCTCTTCTGATCACTTGTCATTAAAAAATTAACTGTGATACTGATATGAAATTTCTTTGCTTTTAATAAAATTCAACATCTTGTATTTGTTAAAAGAAATAGACAACACAAAAAAACCCCAACGCCTTATTATGCAATTTCTAACTTAACCCACTTAGAAACAAAAGTTTAGATAGAAAAATGAGAGTAAAATGAAAACCTATAAGTCAATAATTACATACATTTCTGATTCCAAGGGCAGCCCAAATTTTAATACAATGGTTTATTAGTATCCATAGTGGTGTGAAGAAGGGATTTTGTCAAGCATTTGCAAGGCTTCTTTCATGGTGGGTCTCTTTTGTGGTATTGGAGATGCACAATTGTAGCCCAATTTGAAACAAGCCAGCAATGCATCCTCTTTGCCTTCTAAATCCCCACGAATCACCGCATCAACCATTCTCAATGCCTTGTTTTGGTCCTCAACCACTACCCCATTTCCCTGCCCTAACTCATCCACAACTATAACTCTCCCCGTCAGAAGCTCAAGCAAAATCACCCCAAATGCGTACACGTCCCACTTCGGGTTGGGCTTGAGGCTCCGAAGCGACTCCGGGGCAATGTAAGGCGATAAACCAAATGAGCTTGGGCTCGGGCTCGGAGTTGAACTAGGACCAACTAGTTCTTGGAAGCTATCCCTCGACGCCATAGACCTATTGCTACCGAAATTTCGAACCGACGTCCCTACTTTAGACCTCGTATCGCCCGTTACGAGCCTTTCGAGACCGAAATCTCCAATCTTGGGCTCCATGTTATAGCCTAAGAGGATATTGCTGGGCTTCAAATTGGCATGCACGTGTTTCTTCTCGTGGAGATACGCTAGACCACGAGCCACACCTTTAGCAATCTTTAGCCGAGTCTCCCATGGAAGATAACATGGTGAAGAACCAACTTTTCCTGAAAAAAAAAAACTAAACAGGTGTAAACGGTAGAATTAATAAACTGAGATAACAAAGATGGGTCGTTTTCTTATGTAAACATCAATCGTTGTTTGACTTTTTCATGCATGAACAATAACGTTTTAGTTACACCTACTACATCGTCATGACGTGCGCATGTTTTTTACCTTTCAAGGTTCAAAACTGGGGGCGGGAGAGGGAGGGGCGGGGAACTCACTGTTATAACGGGCGTTGGCGAGGCTGCCATTTGGTACAAAATCGTAAATAATGAGCTTTTCATCGACTCCCCAATAGAACCCACGGACCCTGACCAAATTGGGGTGAACTAGTTTAGCAATGGCTCGAACCTGGGTCTCGAAATCCTTGAAACGGTCCACACTGTTCTCACCGATCCGTCGGACCGCCAACGAGGATCCGTCTTCGAGCACGGCTTTGTACATGATATTAGTCCCCGTGACACCCAATATGTATGCTGACGCTTTGAGTAACTTGTCTAGGTCGAGCTTCTTTTCCCCATCGACGGTCACAAATGTCCCTTTCTTGTCATGTTCTTGCTCTTGCTGCTGTTGACATTCTTCTTCTTCTTCTTCTTCGGTCCCGGATTCTTCTTCGTACTCTCCCCTCTTTCTCAAACACGACCATCTCAAAAACCCTCTTGGTTCCAACGATGGAGATGTTAAAGACCGATTGTCTTGGGCTGTATTAGCTTCTTGCTTCAGCGTAGTCTCGAATAGTACTCTCTTTTTGGTCTTTATTTTGTAGATGAGAAAGAACACCATGATTAGGAGTCCAATCCCTGCTACATCTCCGACTATAATTGCCACTATTGTCCCTGGTTTGAGCTTGTTTCGTGGTGATGTTTTACCTCCGGTGTCCGGTGTCTTCGGGATGGCGGCTATTGCTGGTGGGGAAGTTGGTGAAGGACTTGGACAATCACGCTTCGTTACTTTGCCACACAGAAGCGGATTCCCGGAAAAAGACTCGGGCTCACTGTTCTTGAAAACAACGGAATCCGGGATTTCTCCCATGAGATTATTGAAAGAAAGATCAACGCTGGCGTTACCGGGAATTTTCTCGGCAAATTCCGGCGGGATTTCTCCGGAAAGTCTGTTGTAAGAAACGTTCAAGTACTTGAGATTGTTGCCCCCGAATTTACGAGGCAAAGAGCCTTGGATGAGATTGCAAGAGAGATCTAAAACCTGAACCGATTGAAGCCCAGTTGGAAGATTGCCTGAAAAATAATTGATCTTCAAAGAAACAACGGTTAGATTCAGGATAGTGGTGAGACTTGCAGGCAAAGTACCCGTCAATAAATTGTCGGAGAGGTTAAGGACTTGAAGGTTTTGTAAAGTTCCGATCGTTTCCGGTATTCCACCGGCGATCAAATTGTTCGACAAGTCCAGAAACCGAAGCTTGGTCGAATTGAACAACGAAACAGGAAGAGACCCATTTAGTGAATTGTTGGAAAGATCAAGACTATGAAGGTGCTCAAGCATGCCCAGATCGGATGGAATCGAACCAAGGAGCTGACAAGTCGGAAGAGACAAGCCGGTAACTCGAAGGTATCCATCAATGGAATCACAGGTTACTCCGTTCCAAGCACAAGGCGTCTGGTCGAAATAATTCCAGCTTTGTAGAACGTTTAAAGGGTCACTGAGAATCAAATACCTGAAAGAAAGCAAGAGAACCCCATCTGTGTTCAGCCCCAGAGATTGAACCACAAGAAACTCAAGAACAAAGAGAACTCTCCGCCATGAATGGAGTTTGAAACTGGGGAATGAGTTCATGGTTTCTCGTATTGAGTTACAGACCACACAATTCTTATATGAAGAGAGAAGAGGGACAAACAGAGAAGGGAACTAAGAAAAATAACTGAGAGTTTCATTTATGTCCATGAAGTTGCAGAGAGGCCAGGCCATGTGATGGAAAACAAAAAAGCCAATAAAATACACGGCACCAACACAAACTTGTCTCGTATCGACAAATATGTTCCGGATTGGCTGCTCTGTGTGTGAATATTTAAGGTTCGATAAAAATGATTATGGATTAATGATATCACGGGTAATAAATAAATAAACAAATACAATCAAGTACCAGCTACATGCTACTAGATCATAACAATAATAAGAGAATGGCATCTTTGCTACAAGACATTAATGCTAGACATCTTTGCTACGGTCCAATATTTCTTGAATAAGTTTAAGGTGGGATTTCTTTTTCCACTCACTGAAATGGGAATAATGCTGTTTCCATTTTTTATTGGTTACGAAGACAAGGGAGTGAGCACATATTCTTCAAATCTCGATCGGTAATATTTCATGTTTTGTCAAATTTAGATGACTGTGTCTAAGACACATACTGTGTGCGTTTCGGCTATTGCTCGGGAAAATTAAACACAGTTTGGGATGGGAATTGGGAAATGAATCAAAAACTTTGATGTGTAACATTATCGTGGAGGGGTCCCTCATCAAGTACCAGCTTCATTCCTTGCTCCACCGTTCCCAAAAATTTGACCGTCTGGTAAAATCATTATGTTTACATCTGAAAATCCCTTAAGAAATTGATTTGACCAGGGCCCAACAATCAACTACCAGTGCTAAACTTGTTAAATCTAAGTTTAATTATGGTTTTACTCTAAAATACTTTCAAACTTCTTTATGATAATAATTTGATGTTGTGATCAGGTCATTCATTTTTATTTATAATAAATAAGATAATAAATGTGGGTCGATATTTTAATATGAAAAATATTGAAGCATCAAACAAAGATGTAACTCATAATATGAAGGGCTAACTACATGGTTAATTATTTATGTTTGTGTTTTGTTCATTTTTTCTCACCTATTTTAAAAACATAATATATGACAACTTTCGTTTATATTTAACTAATATATAGTCACCGCGAGTTAACTGTTATTAACAACAATTAAATATTTTGGTATTATCACACAGCAATCCATGTTATTTATATATTCTCTCAATTTAGTTATATTTTTAATAAATTAAAATAAATTTAATCATCCAATCGAATGATGTCACGTGTCACTGTTGCCACGTGTTGTACCACATGTCACCATTCAGTTGGAGGACTAACCTTTTTTAATTTATTTTAATTTAATATATTTATTTTAATTTAAAATTAAAAAAATGTTTTTTAAAGTTAATATATATTAAATTAAAATAAAGCTAGTCCTCCAACCGAATGGTAACATGTGACATGACATGTGACACGTAGAATCATTCGATTGGAGGATTAAATTTATTTTAATTTATTAAATATATGACTAAATTGATAGAATATATAAATAACATATACCAAATGTGTGATTATAATAAAATATCACGCCACCTAATATGGTAACCTTTAACTGCAATTAATCCGTGGTGATTACATCTTAATTAAATAAAAACAAAAGTGATTGTATCTTTATTAAATAAAAATAAAAGTGACTATATATTATGTTTATTTTAAATCAGTAAAAAAAAAGTGAACAAAACACAAACATATACAATTAACTATGTAGTTAACCCTAATATGAAATAAAAGATAATTATGATTATTTGTAGGTTGACAGATCAAGTAGATATAATTGTCAAATTTCAAATATTATTATAGTAGATTATTTGGACATGTCAAGGATGTTATTTATACATTATAACTAATTAGGAGATTACGAAATAGTTCCTTAAAAGTTCCGATAAACAAAAGAATCTATAAAACATAGAATTGGTAGTTTCTAAAAATGACCTCGAGAGGGAGAAACAAAACTCAAATTTGTTAATGGAGTGTTATTAGAATTTGAAAGCCTAACAGGGCATGTTCTGCTGTGTACCAGTTTTATGCTCAGCACTCCCAAGCTTCCATAACATGGAATAAGGGGTTAAGGACCAATAATCAGTGAGCTATGATTCGTCGCCAAATTGTCCTTATCCAAGATCTCCGCATTGTTTTAATTTATTGGCACTAACCCAGATTTGATTTTTGATGACGGTGGTGGAAAGCTTTTGGCTTTTGTTCTTCTCACCGCAGAATCATTTGATCTGAACTTGTAATCTTGTTCACACCCGGAGAGGACTGCATTTTTCATCCTACCATTCTTTTAAAAAATTGTTTGTGGCAGCTTTACCCACCTCGTTATAATATATTATTTAATCTTAAAAGACTGTCTTTTGCCATGCTTCATTTAGGTTTAAATTTGTGAAAGATGTGCAATTTTTATATTTTTAGAAGAATACAAAAAATCTTTACTATATTTAAACTCTTGTTTTGCTTTTTTCAATCTCTGTAAAGAAATCAACATATATGGCCCATGCCATGTTATTTTTTTCCCCCAAGAGGATGAAAATTAACTTTTGGAAAGGTAAATCTGGACCCACCAGGCACCAGAGCCTTACATCAAGGATTTGGATAGCTTGGTAATTAACATCAGCCATCAGTTGAGAAAGGTACAGAATTTACATTTTGCACATCATGTCTCCTACACACTATCACTTTCCATCTTTTCGCTTTCGGATGAAATTCCCATAATCGTTTTCTGGAATGGAATACTGAGCAAACTAGGAAATTAGGTGAGAACAAACATTTGCGACCTTTAGGTTATAATAATACCCTGAAAAATCTCCAGTCTCAAAGTTATGTTTCCGAATACATATCAAATAAAAAGAAGTTCGCAAATACATATCTTCAGTGCTTTAATTATAAATTCTAAATCCAGTTATAATATATATCAAATTCAAGATCAGAAGGTGCAAACAAAAGCGATCAGTATGATTTTGATCTGATGTGTTGCCAGAACACAACAAGCCAAGTTATTGCCTTTGTCCCTTTATGAAAAGCTTTCCGATGAGAGAAGTGCTATCTATCAGTTGAAACAGACAAATAGCATTGCTTGAATAATAATATCAACGGTTTTGCTTGTGTAACTGCGGGTCATGCCAACTCCTGCCTTTCTTTTCTTCTTTCTTAACTAAAAGTTGTGCCTTTCGTATCTTCTTACAGTTTCGTTGGAATTTGGAAACTACCATATTTGACAGCCAACGTGTATGTAGAAAGAATGAAGACCATTATTGGAGGAGTAAGGTTTGGACAAACATTACTTGCACAGCTTAATTAATGCGTGCACCAAATAATTGAGCTATTTTTTTCTTTTCTTTTCCCTTTATATTGCTATTCGATAAGACAATGACTTGGGTTGATTTGGCTGTGGTGGGACAATGGGAAATGGGGTGTGTGTGTTTTACTACTGAAATAAGCAACAAGGGAGGGTAATGGAATCAACAAAGTAAAATCTAATCTGTAATCCCACATGCTTACCCACTTGTTATTGATCACTCTGTTAGGGTCTCAATAGCCACAACTTTTTACAGGCAGTCAACGGGGTGGTTGGGGTTGTCAGCATTTTCTTTTCTTCTTTTAGGGGTAGGGTCAGTCCCTCGTTGGGATAAGGAAACATTATTTAAGCATTTCTAAGTTTTTCTTTGGCATATAAGGACTTCTAAGTTTAATGCAATTAGATTTCGTAATAGATTTGCTTCCTTTTGTAAAGTATTGCGCTCCAAAATAAGCAGGGATTGGGGTATACAAGTGGATGTGCTGCACACTCTTTGTATTTGTGACAAATTAATATCAGATTCGAGTGAAATAGATAGAATGAATAGATTCAGTTACTGCTCCCAGCAAGCTTTAACTTCTAGGGCTGCCTAATGACACCCATAATCATGAAAATAAATAATTGGTCGAATGTTGTTGCTTAAATTATGGAACGACAGGATATGGCTTCCATCACAATGGGTTAGTCCATGTTATTAAATTCGAGTGCTCGTTGTGGCCCAACTAAAAAGTTGATGTTTTCAATTGCCCAGTGATCAAAACCTATGTTATTTGTTAAAAGTTCGATGTATTACCTCAATTCTTTCAAAATATAAGATTTAATTTATTAATTTTTTACTTTTATCAGAATTTGAAGGGTGAGACACCTCCTGGTTATCATTTGCATCGTGGGTTCGGATCAGGTGGGTTATCCACTTGGAAGGTGGTGGATGGTGCAATAACATTTGGAGTTGTAAAACTACTGGACGTGGTTCATTGTGAAATTTATGGAGAAGCAATTAAGTTTCACTGGAATATTGAGCAATAAACCTGAAGAAAATCATGGTTTTTACAACTGGAATAGAGTAAGGGTGTTGGGTGTTCTTTTGCTTGAGAGGGCCAAGATGAGGCCAATCAACTTTATTTTAGAGGATGAATTAATGTCCCAAGGGAATGCGAAATGCTAACCAGGACAGGCACTCGTTTCTGGATGTTCAGTTGGGGGTGTAGCTTCCATTCTTCATTGTCATGAAACTACCCAAGTAAAATGTCCAAGTGGTGCAGGCTTGTTCCTCGATTCCACAAATGTGGCTGGTGGCCGTACCTTAAGGGATATGTATGCAGCTGTGGTTTACCTTACGATTGTTGGAAACAATACTACTGCAAAACAAAATCATTAGCATTGACTATTAAACGATGGAAATAGATCGATTTACTGTGTCGTGGTATGGAAGTCATTATCTTAAAAGTAATTTCGTCCGAATTGGTGTAATCATAGAAGTTGAAGTTACCCATAAGATTAATACAATCTTCCAAATATCGTACACTTGAAGTGAGGAAGTGGAACCCACTTGTGCTGCCCTCTTTAATCAAAAACGTTTCAAGAAGGAAATACATAAGCCATCAATTGTATGTAAAATTAAGGAGAGACATCCCTTTTACAGGAGTGGTTAAAAGTATAATTGTCAATTGACAATTATCCACCTTCAACCACATCCTAAAAATAGATAACCAACTCCCTAAAAATATCCCTTAATATTTGCATTACTAACAACCCCACTAATGCAAATAAGTAAACAATTTTTAAATACGAGAAAAGGGCAACAATGAAATTAGTCACTTAAGTACTAGTGAACGTATTTAGAACTAATACATAATGGAATAAACAATTCTTCTCTTAACAAGTGAATGAATCTGAAACTTGTTAAAATAGGAGTAAACTCAAAATATAGGACTAATTTCTTCACCAAGTTCTACGATAGATCAACAAATTTAGCCTATATACCTCATGATGCTAGTAAGTACTCTAAAAAGACCGCCCATATTCTTTCATAGAAGGTGGCTAATTCTTCACACTTACGTAGGTGATTTCGTCAAGTCTATCTCAAAATAGACCATCCAATTAGGGATATAAAATCATTAAGAACATTTAGAAAGCGCAACCTCTCAATTTAAAAATCAATGAATTCATTAAGTCCGTCTCATAAGGACTACTCAAAGCCTAGGATATGAATTCATTAAGAACATTCAATATTTCATCTTTTTAATTTGATGAGTTCATCATATCCATCTCATAAGGACTACCAAATCTTGGGTTATGAACTCATTAAGAATGTAAAACTCAACATCTCAAGTTGGTGAATCCATCAAGTCCCTTTCATTAGGACCACTCAAATCATGGACTATTAATTCATTCAGAGTGTAAAACTCATCATTTCACGGTGATGGATTTATCAAGTCTTTCTCACTAGAACCACCTAAAACTTGGGCTATGAATACATGAATTCCTTAACCAAATGGTCTTAAGACCATTTCCCCTCAACTATTAAGTTAAGGGATTAATATAAATCTTTTTTATCCTCTCGTACATCTTAAGTACTATCTCTTTATTTTACGAACTCATGCATTCTCTTACCATTGTAGATTTGGTTTTAAACCATTCACATGTTATCTCATGAGTCACGTAAAAATACAAAGAATAAAAAAAAACTTCTTTAAAAATTCTTAGCAAGATAGATTCTTAAGGCATTCAACCTTATGTTTGACTAAGCTAAGACTTATCATCTTATGATTCACAGTAGAGCTATTAAAACAAAATTTCACAAGCTTTTATAAAAATTGCTCTACTTAGATAAACATATACCTACTATAATCTCACATATATCATTTATAATTTTAAGATTAAAATTCTCTTAGTTTCATGCAATTTAAAGAGCCATTCTCATACACTTTATATATTTCACAACACAATACATGAAATCATTAATTTCTTTTAAACACCCCCACATACTCTAGGGTAGAAGATTTTCAATTACCCCCACATCCTCTACCCTCAAGGTGTCTATATTAATATCATATATGACATATAAACAATATTCTCCTTCAACTTTACTCAAGTAAAAATAAATTCATGTTAGATTTTAAACATAAAATCACATGGATAGACAATCAATTCTCCTTTCTCAATTATAGAAGTATAACAATAGAATTTTAATAGCTAATATTTTTCATAGCATCGCCTATCACATTAATCAAATATTGAAGAGACTATTAGTAGTTCAACTACTATGACCAAATCTTTTTTATCTTAATAAGATTATCAAATTTCACCTTTTTACTTCTTTTTTATGTTAAGAAGAGTGTAAATTTGTCATAGTATTTTATGAACTGAAGCATAGAAATGAATAATGCACCAAGTAGGTTTCCGAAAAAAGAGAAGTGATGCACTAAGTACACTTAAGTACCGAATCTTTTCCAGAACCATTCCTAAACATGAATTCTCACTCTATCACACTAGTATAAAAATTCTCATTACAATTTATGCTTAATAATTTTTGTTCATAATTAAGCATACATAAAAGTAGGCTTCAACTAACCATTTAGTTTAGTCTTAGGGGTTGTTTGATAAAATAAAATGATTAAACGTTGAATGATTCAATGGCCTGAATGATTCAAATGCTCTGTACGAATTAGCTCTGAATGTGACATGTTGTTTGATAATGGTTATGAATGTACAATCTAAATTATAAATATTTTCATTTTTACCTTCATAATGATTTATTATATTATAAGATATGATTGTTTAATAAGACAACATGTGAAAAAATATGTATTATGGTAAAATACCGGGTGCTTAATGATTCAAAATGTACTTTAATGCTGAATCATTCAGCAGTGTTTTGTTGATTCATTCAGTATAATCTTAATTCAGAGGTGAGAATCAAACACGCTGAATGATGAACGGTTCATCATTCAACGCTGAATGGTTCCATTCAGTAGTAAACAAACATCCCCTTAGTCTCTAAACTTTATCAAAAGTTATCACTGTGTTTCAAAGACAGTTTAAAGATTAATAAACAACAATTTCATGTAATGATGTAATATCAAATGAAAAACACAAGTCTAAATAATCTGATCTTTTTTTTCTTCCACTCATGATGCGATCTCATTCGATCTTGTCTCGAGTTAATCACTCCAAAAATTCTAACCTTAAATTTGCCAGTTGACTTTTCAATTTTCTATTATAGCATTCTTCACATGATTAAATTCCTCAAAAATCATAAAATATAAACTCATAGTATTAATCAATCACTTGAAAACTTAATTGAAAAGTTTCTGAGTTATGAGACAAAAATAAAAGAATAAAAAATAATCTTTAAATAGAGATGGATGAACGTAAAAATAGATAATTAACTCCTTAAAATTTACATTACAACAAAACTGTGAGCAAAAGAATGTACCGAATAGTTGTACCAGACAAAAGACCCCCCTGTTTCTTCTCAGTGCAGAATATGATGCTTGGCAGGCCGATCAGAGGCCATCAATTGCTCATTGTCATGGCTATTTGACATAACTGACATTAATTTTCTCTAATATCTCTTTTTTGACATCGTTTGATTAATATTTTCTGAAGTAACACCTTTTCTGTTGAGCTGACGAAAGACGCATCCCCGGGGACGCGCTTTACCCGTGTTTTAGTTGAGTTGGATGCCACGTGTGGAAGGCTCATCCCCGGAGACGTGCCTTTCGCCAGCTCGACTGCCACGTATTTTGTTTAATAATAAATATTTTATTTTTATTATTATTATAAATTAATAATATATTATGTAAAGTGTTTCGATTATAATGTAAGAATTATCAAATGTATTTTGTTAATGTGTGTTAAAGGTAGAGTGAATTATCTACATTAATATGATATAACAATATATGAAAACCAGTTTTGACTTTATTGTAGTTATAGGAAAAATGTATGAAATTATAATATTACACATATGGTTATATTATTATTTTTTATTTTGATTATCGATCTATTAATTTTATCAGTTAATTATTTAAATGTTATCAATCTAGTCATCTCATATTAATATTTAACAAAAATATTGATGCATAAGTTAATAAATTAGTGTAATTACATATTTAATCTTCAAGACTTACATATTTTATGAAATTAGTCTTATTGAAAATTTAATTTAATAAATTTAATCCTCCAATCAGAACATGAAATGTGTCATCGTATACATAAATTTTTTAATAACTTTTAATTTGTTTAATTTAATATTTTTCTCTACTTAGAAGGTGAAATTATTATTATATTTTTAAAAAAATTATAACGACAAATTATATAAATGCAATAACATTAAATTATTAGAAACAAAAACATTCATTTAAATACAATATTAATTACATAAGAGTTAACGGTTATATGATGATAACAGAGCTGAACATTTTTTTCTATTGCGTCCGATGTTTCTACAATGCCCACATCGTTTTTGTTCTGTTGACTTCTCCCGAATATCCATATCACAATGTATTCTAGTAGATTTTGGACGACCTGAGTCCCTCAATAGCAATATCCAATCGCAACAGCATTTCGTTTTCCATTATAACTGTAGACAAAATAATATAATTAGCAAAAAAAATTAATAATTCTAAATAAATAATAATTATATAAATATTATTTTAATAAAAAAAATAATATTTATATAATTATATTAATATAAAATATAATAACTATTTAAAAAAATACTAACATAAAAATAAATTTCTTACCACTAATAACAAATTTAAAACTCAAATAGTTGGATAATTTGAATTATATAAGAGAGGAGAATATGATTTTGGTGTGAAGAATGAGGGAGGGCTGAGGGGGTTTATATAGGGGAGGAGGGGGTAGTTAGAGAAAACGGATGGGGGCATTTATGGCATTTAATGGAAGGCGCGTCCCCGGGGATACGCTTTCTACACGTGGCAGTCGAGTCAGTGAAGGCGCGTCCCCGGGGATGCGCCTTCCACACGTGGCATCCAACTCAGCGAAAACACGGGTAAAGCGCGTCCCCGGGGACGCGCCTTTCGCCAGCTCAGCAGAAAGGGTGCTACTTCGGAAAATATTGGTCAAACGATGTCAGAAATGATATATTAGAGAAAATTAGTGTCAGTTATATTAAATAGCCCATCCGGTTTGTGGCATCACTCCATCGTCTTCATTGCCAGATTAAATTGATTCAGAATGAAAGAAGTTATTGTTATTTTTAAATATTCGGTTCAAACATTATAAATATTAAGAATGAAATCACTATAAATATTAAAAGTGAAAATGTTTAATATAAAAAAATTAAGAGTTATCTTTAAACGTATATCATCATACATTTATCTTATATTAGTAAAAAAAAAATTAAAGAAAAGAAAATTAAAGGTAGCTCCGGTAGGTGCAAACATTTGAATTTTTTTAGCAGTAAATCTAAAAAATTATCTATTTATAAACAAGATTCCTAGTTAGAGAGTCCCAAAATTTTAAACAATAAAAAAAAAAGCTTAAAAGAGAGTGAGTGCAGTTCAGATTTAACGCGTGTCAGTTAGCCAGCTGTATCCCAAACAACATTTCCGCTAACCACTCAAATGAACCACTCGGTTTGTGCCCACGGAGCTCTGCTTCCCTTTACAATTCCAACCGATTACTTCCTCTCCTCTCTTATATATATCCCCTGGCCTCCCCTTAATTAAACCCTCGATAATCATCGAATTTTCCTGTTGCATTGCTTTTGATCTTGATTTCTATGGATGTAACCAGCATATCAAATCGAAAAGAAATGGATCGGATCAAAGGGCCATGGAGCGCCAGCGAAGATAACTTGCTTCAAGAACTGGTCCAAAAGCACAGACCCAGAAACTGGTCTTTGATCAGCAAATCAATCCCGGGTCGATCCGGAAAATCATGTCGTCTCCGATGGTGCAACCAACTGTCACCTCAAGTTCAGCACCGTGCCTTCACCGCCGAAGAAGACGAGGCCATCATTCGTGCGCATGCCAGGTTCGGTAACAAGTGGGCAACCATAGCTCGACTCCTCAACGGCCGAACCGACAACGCCATTAAAAACCACTGGAACTCGACGCTAAAACGTAAGTTCTTGTCGGTTGGGGAAGAGATTAAATATATCAGTAACGATGGGCATGATGGTAATTTGGAAGGGGAAGAGCGACAGCCGTTGAAAAGAGCGTTGAGTGCTGGGCAGTATAGGAGCCCGGGAAGTCCATCAGGATCCGGTGTGAGCGATTCCTGTGTTCCCGATTTCTCATCTTCGCCATTGTACAAGCCCATCGAAAGGACGACCGGAGGGGTTAAGATTGATTTTGACGTGAACGCTATACCAGCTGGGTTCGAAGCGGCGGCGTCTTGCAACGATCCACCGACCTCGCTGAGCCTGTCATTAACGGGGGCCGAGTCACGCGAGGTGTCAACACACCCAGTCACCGAGTCAACTCAGAAGATAAACGAAGGGAAAGATGAAGAAAGGGAAGGTGAAGTGAGGAGATTCAGAACGGAGTTTATGGCGGTGGTTCAAGAGATGATAAGGGTGGAGGTGAGGAATTACATGGTGCAGGTGCAACAGCAAAACGGTGCGGTGGAATGGGATGTGTTTGAGTGACGGATTTAGGAAGGTGGGTTTGGTCCGAGTGGGGGGCTGAGTCAGACTCAGATCGAGTAAATTCCTTTCGGAAGTGATGGAAAAATTCTACTTAGGGGTGTTTGGACGGGGAATGTAGGATTTCTATGGGAATAAAATTCATATTTTTTGTTTGGTTAGTCTGGAAATATCATTTTCGGTAATGTAAGATTATCAATAGTGGATTTTTTGGGTATATGACCGAGAAGGTCATTACCTCTATTTTCTTAGGTTTGTTGGATTATCGATGTTTTGGATTAAAATGCCCTTAATTTTTTTTTTTAAAATATCATTCTTCTGTTATTGAATAATAAAAATTCTACGAATGTTAAATTATAAATTTATCTTTAAACTATTTTAGATTTACAAAAAAAATCTATAATTAAAATTTTATATGAAGTTCAGGGGTTAAAATAAAATTTTACCCTTTCATTAAACATTTTTATATTTTTAATTTTGTAAAAAAAATTATATAAATTTAAATTTTTTAAAGAAAATATAATATTTTCATTTTGTTAAAAAAACAAATATATAATAAGGACAATTTGATCTAATATACATTCTAATAATATTTTATTCTTTTAACCAAACATGATAATCTTACATTCCTGTTAAACCAACCAAACACAAATACAATATTCTCAGTAATCCTATTATCGGGTAATCTTATATTCACACTGGTAATCTTACATTCTGTGAACCAAACGCACCTTTAGTATTTTAGGAAACAGAAAATGGGTGGATAAAAAACGAAAATTTCCTTTAGAGAAAATAACCTCAGTGACCAAAACTCCCAGATAATATACGATTTTGACCAATTTTTTTTGGATTTGCGAAAATGACCAACAAAATCGCAATGCGATCTCTAATTCGCATTGTGATCTCCACTATCGCAAATTCGCGTTGCATTTCGCGTTGCGATAGTTGAAAATCGCGTTGCGATTTTCCATTTCGCGTTGCGATAATCTACAGTTGTCGTTGCGATTTTTCCAAATTCGTTGCGATTTTCTAAATTCGTTGCGATAGTCTACAGTTGTTGTTGCGATAGTCTACAGTTGTCGTTACGATTTTCCAAATTCGTTGCGAAAATTCGTTGTGATAGTTAAAAAAAAGATTTTGTTTCTTAAGAATTTTCTCTAAAAAGATAGTATCCGCGCGGACGTGTCGAAGACACGTATTACCACGACCACGAGACGAACGGCGGCGGCGGCGGCGCGCGAGAGTCCCCCTTGTTCTCTATCACTCAACAAGGAAGTGGGAAAGTTAAGCCTTAAATACCATTCCCAATAGTGTTTCCAATACTATGTGGGATTTGAGCATTACCAACACTTGTTCTCAATACTATGTGGGATTGAGCCTTAAATAGTGATATTATTTTTGAATGTTTTACTTAAAATTGCAATAATCGCGATTGATTGTAGATTGACTTTTAATTATGACATATTTAATCGTATAATACTAATGCAATTGGTTGCTGATTCAGTTGTTTTAAGGTGCATGATTGTTAATTGTTTCATGAATAATCACATTGTATTGGAAAATACGAATTTTCGCAACGAATTTGGAAAATCGCAACGACAACTGTAGACTATTGCAACGACAACTGTAGACTATCGCAACGCGAAATGGAAAATCGCAACGCGATCTTCAACTATGGCAACGCGAAATAGAAAAGTGCAACGCGATCTTCAACTATCGCAACGCGAAATGGAAAATCGCAACGCGATCTTCAACTATCGCAACCCGAAATGATAAATCGCAACGCGATTTTCAACTATCGCAACGCGAATTTGCGATAGTGGAGATCGCATTGCGATTTTGTTGGTCATTTTCGTAAATCCAAAAAAAATTGGTCAAAATCGTATATTATCTAAGATTTTTGGTCACTGAGTTTATTTTCTCTTTCCTTTAAATATCACTGTAGTCTCTAAAGAGTAATAAAAATTTAGATATATTTTTAAAGAAAATCAGCAAGTGATGGATGGTCAACCTCAACCGCTAAAACTGCCAAGATTTAAACATGTTTCTGGAATTCAGGGATTTGTTATCCCCCCCCCCCTCCATATCCATGTATGGAAATATTTATTTCAAAATGGTTGGAGGGTGAAGTGTCACCCAAAACATCATCCATCATCCATCATCCATCATCCAAATTATGTATATTATATTTCACCACAGAATTAAACAAAAGTTTGTTAGTAACTTCGTATTTTTAAAAGCTACACATTCACCTTTGAAAATTTATACTATGATATATTAATTATATGTATGAAAACATAATCTTGATTGAAAATATAAAAAAAATTTAATTTAAATATATGTATTTAATAGTGTTTGAAAAATAATCAAATTATTGCCCTATATATAACATTATAAGTTTGGCTTATATATAATCTTATTATTTAAGGTAAATTATATGATTGATCACTTTTGTCATATAATTGATCATTTTTGTTTGAAATTTATATGTTTTTACGTTTTTATTTAATTAAAATGTGATTACAAGGGGAAATTACATAAATGAATTGTTAACATGTGTCGCAACCGTCTTTCGGTTGGGCCCCAGAATTGGGCTTCGACTTGAAAAATGTGGATTGGAGTCGCCACCGATCATTTATTTAAAAATAAATGGGTTGATCGGATACCCTATTTCTTACCTGATCTGCGTCTTACCAGAAATATGTCGGGCTCGGGAGTCGGTTACGGTCAAGGAAGGATTAGCACCCTTGAACCGCCCTTTCGGTACTACGTAATTTCCAGTTGTCTTAATTAAGAAAAATGACAAGTTAAATTAAAAAGTAAAGTTTCGATCCTAATTACTTACCCTTGATTGATTTAAAAAAAATCGAGAAATGTGTTAGATAAACAAGGTAAAGAAAACAAATAAGATACAAGGGAAAAATAAAATAAATAAGTAAGATAAGAAAAAAAATAGTAAAGTAATAATTGTATATAGTAATATTTGAAAAAAGGAAAAATATAAATATATATATATATATATATCAAAGTATTAATAAAATAAATAAGCTATATATGTACACCAAATACTTAAAAATAGAAAAGATACCCTCTCAATTCACCGAAAGTGGGGGCTTTAGTAAGAAATAAGACAAAAAATGGACCCTCTAGGTTAGTAATATATAATATAATGTTTAATAATAATAATGATAAAGACACAAGGTTTTTTAAAAAATAATATAATAATAATAAATAAAAAAACGAAAATAATAAAAAATATATATATAAAGTTATAAGATATATTACGTAAATAAAAAAATAATCAAATAAAAATAATTAAGAATATATATATTAATAATAGGTATATAAATAAACTATTAAAAGTATAAAAAAATATATGACTATATAAAGATAATTACAATATATATAGATAGTAATATTAGACTTATAAGTAAAATATTAAAGAAATATATATATATATAATAGTAAAATATAGTAAAAAATAAATGAAAATAATTTAATATATATATATATACATATAATAATAACATGAATAATAAAAATAAATGAATAAAATATCCATATAATAAATAAAGGGACTAATATAGATTTTTAAAAAGCTCTTCCCCTCCTTTAACCGAAAATCAAACCAGTTTTTAAAAATAAGCCTCGGGGTAGATCTAGGTTCGAAACTTCGAAACCCCACCCGTTTTGGTCATCGGCGCAACCTACGTTTTGGGTTATTCGAACCAAATTTCAAGAAAAATAACGTGCACATGCAAAAGAAAGAAAAAAGAAAATGCTACCTTTTATTTCCTTTTCGAATCCTTTACAATAGTTTTGCCTTTGTATCTTTCCGTGCTTTCCTCTATGTTTTTGTGTGTAAATCGTGTCTTACAATGGTGAGTTACAATGGCTATTTATAGTGCTTGTGGATCCTATCTTTAGGAATTTATATAATAGTATAACTCTATCCTATTTTTAGGAGTTTGAATCCTAGCAAAATTTTATCCTATTTTTAGGAGTTTGAATCCTAAAATTCTATCCTATTTTTAGGAGTTTGAATCCTAATAGGACGAAAAATGTGTGTTGACAGCTGCCCCTCTTTGCCCATAGTCGTGTAACGGGGATAGGGCAAAGATTAAAAGACACACTTTTCGTTCAGTGGAGTTGAAAATTAACTCTGATGTTTTAATAACTCCCTGTCGAATTGAGTTACGGATGACTCCTCCATCGTGGAGTCGAGTTCATCTTGAAATGATATGAAATTAAAGTCGTAGTTCGGAATTTGAATCAGCACGTGGCTTCCCGTTACCCTTCGGTCTTCTTCTCGGTTTAAAGACCTTGGATCGGAATCGAACTCAGAAATCTTCATTGACAGATAGCTTTTTCTTGACTTAAGCTATGCTGTTTGAAAATGGTTGCTTGTCACTAAGGCACGGCTAACCCAGGTCCTCTTCTCGACTTGAAAACCTCGACTGTAACCGGAAAGTAGTGCGATTGATGTGTTATCGAGCTGAATGGAGTCGAACTCGACAATAATCCTTCTTTGAGTTGGATATCCTTCGTCGTGAAGTTGAAATCCAAGTAAGTAGCATTGTTCCAAGTCTAATATCCTCCGTCGTGAAGTTGAAATTGGCTCTGGAACCGGGAAATTGTTTGTTGACAACCAGTCGTCCCTTCGTTGTGAAGTTGAACTTGTGTTGTCTCGAGTCCAATATCCTTCGTTGTGAAGTTGAAATTGAATCTGAATGAAATTTTGTTGACAAGCAGCGGTCCCTTCGTCGTGAAGTTGAACTTGCGTTGTCTGGAATCCAATATCCTTCGTTGTGAATTTGAAATTGGCTCTGGGATTGGGAAGTTGTTGTTGACAAGCAGCGGTCCCTTCGTCGTGAAGTTGAACTTGCATTGTCTGGAGTCCAATATCCTTCGTTGTGAAGTTGAAATTGGCTCTGAGATTGGGAAGTTGTTGTTGACAAGCAGCAGTCCCTTCGTCGTGAAGTTGAACTTGCGTTGTCTGAAGTCCAATATCCTTTGTTGTGAAGTTGAAATTGGCTCTAAAATTAAGAAGTTGTTGTTGACAAGCAGCGGTCCCTTCGTCGTGAAGTTGAACTTGCGTTGTCTGGAGTCCAATATCCTTCGTTGTGAAGTTGAAATTGGCTCTGAAATTGAGAAGTTGTTGTTGACAGGCAGCGGTCCCTTCGCCGTGAAGTTGAACTTGCGTTGTCTGG